AATGGCGAAGGGCTAACGCTCGAAACGTCAGCTTTTATAACCGTAACGGTGGCCAATTTACCATTTCAACTTTGTTGATAAATTCAAATTATTTAAGAATTATAGATCGTTACAGGAGATCAAAAATTGTAAAACATTTGCAATTGATTTAACTTCACTGAATGTAAAGTCTACATCGTATGCGTCAAATAATAGTAGCCTGAAAAAAATTATGCTAGCAAAGCACCGCTTTGTGCACAAAACCCACGCCGATTAATTCTTTAACCGACTTTTTAATACGAAATTGGAAATCCTATTTAAAGCACTGAAAGCTCATAAACAGCTACAATTGATGTCCAAAGATTAGGTTCCTACATTTTACTCGGGTCAATTATGGTGGTAGATGTATATGTTGGTAACTAGAAATTACCTTTCAAGAAGTTTCCAACGGGCGTTCAACATGCTTCCATTTAATGCTTCTATTTGTCCCTTGTCACGCCCCAAACAAGGCATATCCGCTTTCCAAGCTGAAGGCAACAAACCATGTTGGTACCAAAGACAAGTTTGGAGGTAACAGTATTGATATTTCTTGATTTCTTTGTCACAGCTTAACGTTTTAATTTAGCTTCGGTCGCCATTTTCTTCCTTGTGTGAAGATGCACGTGATAGGCGAATAATTTAATTTTAACGTGGGACGCTGAACCTCAAGTTATAAATTTTAAAATTTCTGCTCAACGAAAGACCACAATCCTTCAGTCCCTCGGGATTAAATTTGTTGGCACAATACGATAAAAATAGAGAATAATCCGCAGGTTTAAACATCAGATTGACAAAACAAATGATACCATACATGACTCTTGTCAATTAATTTGCAATCTTCTCCTGTTGCGTGAGATGTCATATGAACAAGTCAAAATAACGAGGAGTAAGGAGAGAAATAGAAAAGAACAAGGAAGAGGGAAAAGAAAAAATGGCTGAAAAACCTTGGAACATCACAAGGGTAAAAGAAATAGTCTTCTAAATAAGGGATGGATTGAATCTAACTCCACATCAGCGAGACATTTCAAGTTATGGTAAAAAGAGTACATTGCACCTGAAACAGCAGCCCTCTTTTTGGAGCTCACTCGAACTAATTGCACATCCTGTTCAAAATTGTTTAAATTTATTTCTTTGAAAATAATCCTTTTTCATATTCAGAACATGCAGTGACTCCTGAAAGAGCCCCAATTTGTAGAAATTTTTACATTTGTTGAAAATTTGTAGGTATACGATGGATTTTTCTTAAACTGACGGGACTTAGTGTCTATGTAATAAGGTAATGAAAAGCCTAAATCTCGATTTGAAAGCGAAGACTAAACCGAGAATGCACATCGTGAAACAGCCAAAACACGCGTGATCACGCACTCACTCACGCATATAAGCGGAGACGTTAAATTCATAAATGTTCGTAAACAGTTTCTTGTCGAGAGCATTCTAAGATCATGGACTATGAAAACGGGTTGGCTTCATCAGGGGCGCCTTCTTCCATGAGGGATTCGATTAGCGACGTGCCGTTGATAATCTTGGTTGTTGCTACTAGATACTCTGTTGGGCCTGGGGCAGAGAGAATAACTCAACGTAAGTGAATCCACCAAGGGTTCAGCCCTGTAAAACACAGTGGCATAGAATAACTCAGATACTTCGCGCGTTCCCCTTGGTCTATAGGTAAGTTACGCGAATACGTTTTAGGATTTGTATAACTTTTTCTAATTCTCCCAATCCCACTTCCCGAGTGTTTATACAAAGCTCCGCAATCACCAATTCTTCCCCCTTCTATTTAAGTATGCAGGAACTTTAGAAAACTGACTTGAGACCCAGGGAGAGGGGGTAGGTTAGGCGTTGATTTGGAATCCAATCCATGGGAGGATGCGAGTTTTGGGGAGAGCGGACTTTTGGAGGAAAATTTCCATCGACTCTCAGCTAGGTTCTACGTGCTCTGTGCTACTAGGAAATTCAGTTCCCAAATTTTGCGTTGTCAGAGTTTCATCACACTTTAATGAGATATAAAGTACTAAACCTTTCGTTGGAAAAATCCACAGTCCTCCAGTAAAAACTTTATAGCGATTTCAACCCTCGAAATATGAGAGGAACCTGGAGGGGTTTGGATGTGTTCTATTATCGGTTTCTGGGTTTTAGATTTAGGAGACATTCAGTCTTAATTTGAATAAATAAAACACTTGAGACTTCCTTCTGAGCTGAGGCACGACAAACTAACTTACTACATTCTCTAGTCACCGGACAGCTCATCAGCACTGAACAATAAACTTCCATGAATTCGAACCATACATTTACGAACAGTAACACTCACTATTTTCCTGCTGAGCAAGAAATCTCAGGGCAGAAATCTCAGCGTGTGTACAGCCTCCAATGAAGTAAACCAATGTTACTTTAGGTGGACCATCCATGGAACCGTCTACGCTTGTCAGTGACCCTGAAGAGATGTTAAAATAGAGAAAATAATAAAAGTCAATTTTGACCCTCATCCGAACTGGAGACGGAAATAAATTTAATACCGATGATAAATATCTCTCCTAGCAGAATATACATGATCCAACTATTGTAACATTTAAATCTGAAGTCAATATCACTCATCTTCACGATCAAATATCGGTTTAAAACTGTTCACATTTACAGACGTTTCTGTGATTGGAGGAATGGAATGGACACCCAAATAAACAAAAGTGTGTCGTTTTCAAATTGAGAATTTCTGTTTTTCCCTAATCACACTGAGCGTTCAAACTTGGTATTACATTCGAGGTTAGTCATTAGGGCGGCTACATAACATTCATCTTTTACGGTGTAGTTGGGAGCTCTAGTAGTTCTTTGGTAAAGGTAGTGGTATCTGGAGGTTTCACCCAATTGCAAGTTTGCCCCGAAAAAGGAAATATGTTCTGCCGTAAGGACACGAGTGGGGCGGACTTGTTTACCTTCATGGGGAAAACTCGCAAAGGTGGTCAGAGGCAAACTTGCAGTGTGGCCCAAAGGAGTCTGTTCGTGTCGCATAAGAATGTGTGCACCTTGTACGAAACTGAACTATCAACGTGCCAGAGCGATCAGAAAACTTAAATGCAAAATGACATTTTCAATATTTCAGAGTGATTCTTACTTTTCTGAAGACCAGGTGGCAGCCGTTGGACTTCTTCCACTGCGGGGCCTGGGAGCAACCGAAGGACCTGTAAAAATTTCAAAGAGATTATGTGTGCGAGCTCTTGCTACTCAACAAGAAACGGAGCAAGCTTTCCTCGAACAATAGATCTGAGTTAAGGTGGACGAAAAAAATGTGGACGTGCAGCATTTGAACTGTTTTAGAGATGAAAACGGTTTCCAAATTGTAAATGTTGAAGTGAACAAGCAATCGATGAAACAAATCGCGAGGCGTGTTCTGGCAATTCAGGGAGAATAAGTCATTCTCATGATCAATCGGATGCATTGGGACCAGAATTTCAAATGCCTTACGCTCTATACGTCTTTTCCCGCGTCATGGGTTGCTTTCCAGGTTTTTTTTCTTTCCCCCCGTCAGGCACGCCATTACATTTTTTTGCGTAAAGTACTAGACTCTGAAGGTTCACATGCCGCTCTTCTTCGAATGCTTCACCACCAACACAAAGAAATTTGTACAATCACGTGTCTGTTTACCTCTTCAAGTCCTCTCCAGCCCTGCGGCCGCGCCAGAAACTGCGCCAGCCGGACAGTGAGCGGTGCATATCCTGAAAAGACGTATGCGATGTCATTTGGGTTCTGCAAGGTGATAACGAAAATTAATATCCTGATATCCACACCATACTAGCCAATTCTTTAACATATCCTCGCGGCCATAAGTTCTTGAGATACCTTAAACAAACAAACGCAAAAACCCTTACTTCAAACCTTGTAAGATAAATAATACAAATTTGAACTTCCCATCTCTACCTACCTGCTCCTGGACATCTTCTACGACAAGCTTCAGTGATTTGCGCAATAAATTGTAAGATCGAGACGTCTGCGCTCTTAGCAAGCCGGCGGTTTCCAATGTAGAAAGCGTTCTGTAAGTATGCTCAAAACCATATGTCTAGGAATGAGTGAAATAGTGCTTCAGGCTTTGGTTATTACTCAGAAATTTATTAGCGTGGCTTGTAACCCGGCCATAAATACATGGGTAAAAGGAAAAACGGGAGTGGACCGACCACATTGACTCTGAAGAGACCCCTTCCCTCCCCCCCCCACCCTTCCAACACCACCACCACACGAAAAAGGAATCTAAATCAACGAAGTGACGGACGGCGTTTCCTTTCCTTTTCTTTTTCTTTTTTCATATATTTTTTTTCTTTGCTCAGGTGTAAAGACATACTATTGAACTCACCTGTAGGATTTCCCGATAATAAAACTCCAACATTTTCGGTTTAAAACCGTTATTAGTTAAACACTGAGCGCACAACAAACGTAGCACCTTGAAAGTGAAAAAAAGAAAAGGAAATTGAAAGAGAGATTAGTGCAATGAGAAGAGAAGAGAAGAGAAAGAGAAAAATTGGACAAAAGTGAGAGGACTTAATATTATCAATATTGGAGTTATTAACACAGTATCACGAGAGGCTAGACGCAACACAGTCCTACACAAATAAAAGTTAATGTTAAGTTACCAAACACAGTTCAGCAAAAAAAGTTGGGGGAGAGGTAGGGGAAATCATGATCGCACGTAAAATGTACGGTGTCAACTGCAAACGCTTTTGCGTCAGAAAAAAAGATTCAAGTTTCAAGTTTATTAGGTCTTCCAAAACAAATACTAACAATAAACACTGCCTGCAAATAGCGAACTAACTTAGGCGGGCGATGTTAAGGACAAACAAACACGGATTACTAATTGAAGGCGTTAAAAAAGTCGATTTTGAATACATTATTTGTCAAAAGAGGAAAAAAAAAAAGTGATAAAAAGTGAAAAAAAATATTATAATTTATGATTGAATTGTAATTAAGATACCTTTTTTATTTCAGAAATAAGAGTGCTAGTGTCAGCATAACTCTCCAGAGTTTCAAGAGTTTCAAATAGTAATGCTTGAATTTTCTTTTTGAACATGTGCTTTGGTAGTTTTCGATAGCTTTCGGGAATGCTGTTCCAAATTTTAGCACCAACAATGGAAAAAGAGTTTTTATGATGATTGAGCCTAGAATGATTAATATAGTAGTTACCAGAAGATGATGAGCGAGTATTATACTGAGCTATGTCTTGTGTAGAAGTAAATAAATTACAGATATTTATAGGTGCAGAGTTAGCGGTTATATCAAACATTAAGATTGATGAAAGTTTGAAGTAGAGCATTGAGATTGGCAGAATGTTAGATTGGGCGAAATATGGAATTGCATGCGTTCTGAAAGTCAGAAAATTGATGGGACGAACGGCTCTCTTTTGGAGTGTAAGAAGCTTTTCTAAATGAGATTTGGAAGATTGGCCGCAGGTAATGAGGCCGTAAGATATATAGGGAGAAATTAATGAATCGTAAATACTTAGAAGTGTTTTTAAAGGGACAAAGTGTCTTAGTCTCGAAATAATTCAAATATTTCTGCTGATTTTTAGAGCATTATAATTAATGTGGTGTTTCCAGGATAAATGTTCGTCAATTATTACCTCTAAGTATTTAACATTATCCTTCCGTTCAAGATCAAAGAACGTTTAGTGCGGCCATCATAGGCCTTTAGCAAATGTTAAATTTAATACGTTTTTGATATGGATGAAAAATTATATAGTATGTTTTCTTAATATTTAAGGAGATTCCAGAAAGTAGTACTGTGCATGGGGTTTAAAAACTTTAAAGAGTTGTAACAGGCCATGAGGTGATGCTACCTTCTTTTCTTCTTTCTTTTCTTTACATCTTTATTTAACGAGGGTAACATATTAACTTTTTACAAGTTTTCTAACATATGGCCCTCACATATACCACCCATCCCACCTTAGGGGAGGACATCCATCMCACAGTAATCTCGTGCGTGGGAAATTACCGTCTCCTACCCCTAACCCTGCAGGAGACGGGACCTCCATTTATTCGTCCCTATCCGAGAAGACTAGAATATCTAACCATTTCTTGATGTTATAGAAAGGTAGCATATTCTTCTTAATTATTTTAAGACCCTGAGTGTCGGTCCGGCCGGGGCTCGAACCCACGACCTCCCGCACAACAGTTCAGTGCTCTGTCCATTGAGCTAACCGGGAGGCGGGTGTCTGTTTACTTACGGTAATAAGCGGTTTCTTCAATCCAAAGCATTTCTCTATGTACGGGTTGATTTTGTCTGTGTCCAAGCCTTGAGCCAGTTCTGAATAACAATTAGAAAAATTGATGGAAATATATTTTCTCCTTGATGAATTGTTGAATGCAACAAAGCCAAAAGTTTTGAGAATTAATCAAATCATCATCGGCGAGATATTCCGGTTGCTGACACTCTCAGCCAACCATACTCAAATATTAGCGTAAGTAACTTTAAAGTTACATACAAACGATATCGATTAACTGATAGGTTCGCCTTCTTCTTTCCGGGAGCAAGAAGGCTGTCGTGGCGGTTGGAGCGGGCGAGAAAAAAAAACTTAATGCTTGATCCGAAAGAGGAAAAATAAATGACAAGTTTTGAAATAAAACGAGTCCCTGGTTGTGCGACTTTTTGTATAATTCTCTACAGTTTGTTCATTTTGATCCATGTAAATTGTGAGTTACCTTTGCCATTTATCTCAACAAATTTATTTTCTCTTTGGACAGATAGAAGTCGTCAATTAAAATTCAATGCAACCCCCCAAAAAATTAGCATTTACGTTAGCAAGAAGGCAGCGAACCATTTCACAACAGAAAACAGTTGGATGGTTTTTGTTCAAAACGAGACAGATAACTGCGACTACCATAATACAGTATTGATCGAGTCACAAAATCTTTGGAGCAGAGGCTTGGCCCAAGAACAGTTTGTTAAAAAAACCTCAGAAAAGCTCTTCAGACGAACGAAAGAGGATTTCAAACCTTAATTTCGCCTAAATGAGCCTCAAGGACATCTAATGTTGTCAAACGACGTCATTGTTGTAACGTTGTTGTTGTAAACGAGAAAGACAGCATGTCAATGACGTCATAGGGAATTGTGTGTTAGTGTTTATGTAAATCTTTATAAAAGATTTATTTGCTTAGAGATGAAATATCGCGTACCTGCTTTTAAGGAAAGAACAAATATCCAAATCGAGGGAGCGACGGAAATTAAGTTAACTCATCGTCGTCAACATTTAAGCACAATTTCGCCCCCCGTGAGATTCACAACATAGAAACAGAGAAACTGGAACTTAGTAACTTGCTGCATCGCTCGCTTGGTGAATCAGCTTTCTAACAATCTAAACATTATGGGTTCAGGTGTATCAAAGAACAATCTTAATGTAGTTCATCAACGACCTGAAGTGGAAATGGCTACGAACAGACGTCCGATATCTGATGAAGTTGTTCAACTCAGACCACGACAGGATCAAGACCATACGAACGAAGAACGAAGAGAGATGATTTCAATGGTTGAGTGGGAATCCTTACTTACAAGAACGTATAAGAAATACGCGGACAGCTTCCCAGAACTTGAAGATGACCTTCTAACAATTTTTAATTCTCTACGAAAATTAAGAAAAGCCGTCAACGACAAATCCAAGGGACCTATAATTCAATATTCTGAGGTGGAAGAGACACTCGAGGAGTTGGCTGTCAAAAGCTGCGACATATTTATGTCGGCAGGAACGAACGACTCAGAAAATTTCAACAAACTCATGAGTTTTATAGTTGAAATCGAAGGAGCAACAGTGCTACATAGCTTCGTGAGAAACTGTTTCGAAGATTACTACAATGAAACAACTGACAACGAAATTAGCACAAGTGACCAAGAGGAGATTTATACTTGCTTTGAAAGTCTGTCTAATGCACTGGCAACAATACAAAACTTTGCTGATTTCCACGATGGTTTTTGCTTGGCGAGCGCTCGAGATGGCGTTGTACAAACTTGCATGGACAATATCAAGAGAATCGATCGAGAAAATGACGACTGGCAAGACCAAGATGAGAAATCCGAAATAATTCACATACTGGAGGCGTGCACCGGAATTTTACACAACATTTCTCGAAGACTGAGAGATCGCCAATGGTTTGCTAACAGTGACGAAACTTTACTCTATTTTGCAAAGGTTAAGGTAGCAAGTATCGCTGCCTCGGCCTTGCTGTGTCTGGCGTACCTTGTAAATGAAGAAACTAATCATTTAATCACCGCCGACAAAAATTTGCTTCGCTTCATTATACGTATGTTAGACGAAGCTTGGCAATCAGAAGACCGCCGAAGCGACGGATTCTCCGTTACGGAACTTGCTGAAGGACTGAGTCATTTGGCAATTAACGACAACAATAAGGAAATTCTTGGCAGCGAAGGAGCAATAAGTGTCTTAACGTCAATACTTAAGACCTCAAACGACGACGAGGAACGGGCGAGTGCGGCAAAGGCTTTGTGGATGTTGGCTTTCAAAGACTCTAACAAGGTTATCATTCGAGAGGGAGACGGAATCATGGAGATCTTACGCACATTACAACACAGTCAAAATGCTGAAGTGCAAAAGGCAGCCGCTGGTGCCTTGTGGGAGATTGAGGGAAAGACAGCAAGAGAAAAAACCGACCAGACCAAAGAAGGGTCTGGAAACCACGTGATGATTAGCTACCAGTGGGATGCTCAGGAGGTCTTATTCCAAGTGAAAAACCAACTTCATGCCAATGGATACAGAGTATGGATGGATCTGGAGCAAATGGGTGGGTCCACACTGGAGGCAATGGCCAAAGCTGTCGAGCAGGCTGCTGTTGTACTGATCTGCGTGTCACAACGATACAAAGAGAGTCCCAACTGTCGATCAGAGGCTGAGTATGCCTACCAGTTAAGAAAAGACATCATTCCCTTGATGATGCAGAAGAATTACAAGGCGGATGGCTGGCTGGGTATGCTTTTGGGTACAAAACTGTGGATTGACTTTCAGAGTAAGCATATCGTGGATTCTGGTGTGACCAAACTTATCCGAGAATTAGCGGGAAGAGGGAAAGACGTTGATCACACAGATGGGCTCCCAGCGGCGGTAATTCGAGCAACTGAGGCCACAACTCTAACAAAACAGCCCTCTGGTCCAGATGTGGCCGGATGGACAAATGAGGACGTGAAAAAATGGCTGAGATAAATTGGATTGGCAGACGTTTGTGACAAAGACATGGCGGAATTCACTGGGAAAATATTGATTGAACTTCAAGAGCTTCGCGGAGAATGCCCGGATTATTTTTACAAATGCCTTGAACACACACTTCAGCTGAAAAACATGTTCCACGTACTCAAATTCAGAAAGGAGTTGGACAAACTACTGGGAAATTGATTGCGATCTGCAGAATATGTAATACGCCCGCCTCGTTCTCCTTGTTAAAGGACAGTTGCGTGACGTTGGTCATCCAACAGTTATAAGTAGAACGGTGCCTGTGTGTGACCTTGTAGTTGTTGACTGTGAGGAGGACACGTTCACCATATGATATGGACTTGCTTGTTTTCTAAGTTCACACATCGATATCGAGAGAACACAATGGACTCCGAGAATGTGTTTCTGTTTTTACCTACAATTTGTATAGTTTGTACTTGGTTCACCAAGGGCGTAAATCCAAATAGAATACGCTTAGTAATTGAAAAACTCGTGGCACCAACCATAGTCCGTATTGACGTTATAGAAACAGTGTTCGAGTAGCAAATTGAAAAGATGCTCGATACTAGAAATACCTGCGTTACATTTACATTTTAAATTAAAACGTTAGATGAAGAGTTTTAACTCTAAAAACCTCATGGAAGATGAAATTGAGCAATGACTTGATAGAACACCAAAGAGTTGAGAGGCTTCCTAACGAAAGCGCGATTGACGAAAACTATGTAACTACTGTTGGCGTTCAAACATTTAGTCTAAATTAGTTTGTAATTTTATGTTCGCCATTTCATAAAAGACGCCGAAGAATGTTACCACATTCACTGTAGAATTTTAAGTTCTGTTTGTTTGATTTATCGGCAACGTAGACCTCAACGGCAATTATGCATGAATCTCTCGTTTTTAACCCGTAAAATTACACCACCATGCTAACTGAAAGAGAAATGAGACATTCTTGTATAATCACAGTGTTGTGCACGGTGATAAACAAGCAAGTCTTTTGACTTGAAATGAAATTGTTGCAAACGACTCCGGAATAAACCTTTACCCTGCTCTTACCACCCAATCATGAAAAACTTTAACCAATCTTATTTTAACAGGTCAGCTGTGTACATACGCAGCAGTGCATGACGCCGTGTAAATTGCAGCTCAGCTCCCTTCCTCAACGGCAAAGGAGGAAATTGGTTTTTGAACGCTCTCGAGGTAGCCGGGCAGAGCGTAGAAAACTGTTTCAAGCCATCTTAACCCTATTTCAGGGAAGTACAAATGTAATGAGAAAGTGATCCGTGACTCCGGTCTATTGATATGATTGTCAAACAACGATTATCTCGCCAAACTTGCATAAATTCCGTTTAGAAAGAAAAATTATATTCAAAGATCCTTAGGCTGTTCTGTTTAAGATAAAACTGTTTCACTTAACTACGATCGAAACTGTATTAAGAGGGAAATGGCGGGGTGACCGCTCGGTGACACGTTTCACAGGTTAGGGGTATTACAAGAAACGGTAAACAACGCCACTTTCTGCAATAATTGATCATTTGATGTAAAGAATGTCGAAAGAAAATACTACTTACTTTGATTATGGGAGAGAAACATGGATTAACAATTACTTGAAGGACTATTCTTAGCTGGCTGTTAAATGTGCGCCGAAGACGACATCTTGTGGACTAAATTCCTTTTCCCCTCGTCGAAATTTTCATATTCACGGACAAATCAGCACTGAAATGACTGCAGCCGCAATATAGAAATCGGTGACAATCGAAATTGAGTCTATAACTGAGATATTAAACGACCTCAAGCTGGTAAAACAAACTTGTGTACACACGATCTTTGAAGATCGCAAAAATACATGAAACAGGCACAAAAGGGAAGCAGCGGTATTACAAAAAGAAAGAGATTTGACGTTAGACTGAAGCTATATTTTGTCGATAACTATAAAGGGTTTTTTGTTCCGCGATAATTGGTATGCTCTGGTTAATGTTCGGCAGCCGGCTAAGGTTCTCAAACGACTGAATGACCAGACGAATATTTTTTGAAAATTCAACAAATTGAGAGAAACTACACAATCTAAACTATTTTATGTCGGATACAATGAATATATGAAGTTCATATATTTTGAATTGCGGTATTATATACGTATGATGCACGATCCTTCGCAGTAGATAGCGCTATTTATGCAATATATCTACTGCGAAGGATCGTGCATCATACGTATTTAATACCGCAATTCACAATATATGAACTTCATATATTCATTGTATCTGATTTATCATCACGGGTTTATTACGAATCAACTTAACGGCCTGCTCCCAGTTGGCTTGTTAGCTCAATTGGTAGAGCGCTGCACTAGTATCGCAGAGGTCAGTGGTTCGAATCCCGTACAGGCCTGATTTTTTTCAGGTCTGATTTTCGCTATTGCATAAATACCGCTATCTACTGCGAAGGATCGTGCATGATACGTATTTTATGTCGATGAGGAACTAAAAGGCGATCTTGGGGAGATTCACAAATCTCATATCTAGCGCTCGGTTTACGTTAACTTAGAATACTTAGAAATTGCGTAAGGTTAACTGCCGAAAGTCGGAAATTTGTCTAAGAATTTAAGAAACCGAGGCAACCTATACAATCCAAACTACTATATATCGACGAGGAACTGCTAAGCGATCCCGAAGAGATTTGTAACTTTCATGAATGACGCTCAGTTTAAGCTGGGCTGAGCGTCAACCTCTACTGAGTTCAGTCCAACTTCAACTTGCATTACATAGGAAAGGATATGCACAACAGGAATCTGTCAACTGTTGTGAACAATGTACATGGTCAACTTCAAAAAGAAAAGTATCACCACCTGCCATCAAGAAGAGGACCAAGACAAGATGAACAACTTCATATTTACTTGAAATTTCTCTTTTCCCTGCCTTCTTTCAAAGATGTAAATTTTCCGTGCCTGAAAGTAAAATTCCTTGACCTTTCCCACTCCATGAAGTATTTCAATGCCTCACATCATAATACTAGAACGAAACACCATTTCTGTGTGAAATAGCTTCTTGTTGACCATGAAAACAATGAAGGAGAGGTGCCTTCTTGCTTTAAGTCTCCTAGTTCAGCTGTCTGTAATCTTCTTTAGCACACACTTTGGTACCAGACGTTACTCTTTATTTTAATCTTATTTTATTCTTAAAGTCCTTACATTTTTCTAAAAGAAACTGAAACAACCATGACATTCAAAAATCGAGCGAGACAAATAGCATTTTTCCGGATTTCTGAATATTCACTCATGCAGATTAAAACACAAACCGGACACTTAACTTCTAAAGCTTAGAATCCACAGGGTCTCTATGAAAAAAAGAAAGCTGAATTTTTGGAAATATTGTGGTAGTTACAGACGCAACGAACATGAACCATTCTCTACGCTTGACTACAGCCGCGAGTGATGTTTACCCATTCAGACCACGTGACCAATTTATAGCTGTATGAAGCTAAAAAGGTCTTCTTGGGAAGGAACGAGTGTCTAACTCGAGGGAGCGGCAGAAATTAAGTTCAGCTCTGAACGACGGAAAAACTCAATGTCGACTTCACATAAGGACAATTTCGTCAACATTTTGCAAGTGACTGGCCACTTCGCAAGAAGATGTAACAGATTCGAGATTCAATTTTGAATTGTGACAGATGCAGTGAGATCCAAACATAACAACAGAGAAACTGAAACTAAACTTGCGTCGTTCGCTTGGTGAATCACCTGTCTAACAATCCAATAATCATGGGTTCCGGTGTATCAAAGAGATCAAGAAATTTGAATCTGGAAGATGAACTGGCTCAAATGGACATAGCTGATTTAAAGTCCAAAGTTGGTCAACGCAGGCCACTACAAAATGATCAAGACCATCGATCAGATGTAAACAAGGAGCACAACAACGAAGAACGAAGAGAGATGATTTCACTGGTTGAGGGGGAAGCCTTACTTACAAGAACGTATATGAAATACGCGGACAGCTTCCCAGAACTCGAAGATTATCTTATAACAATTTTTAATTCTCTAAGAAAATTAAGAAAAGCCGTCGACAACAACGACGACGACGACGACAGCGATGACGACGACAACGATGACGGCGACAACGTGGAAGATGCTCTCGAGAAGTTGTTTACAACAAGCTGCCGCACAACGACGAACGATCTAGAACAATCGAACACACTCGTGAATTTTTTCTTTGAAATCGAAGGAGCAACAGTGCTACATGGCTTCGTGAAAAACTGTTTCGAAGATTTCTATGATGAAACAGACAACGAAGTTAGCACAAGCGACCAGCAGGAGACTCTTTGTTCTGCACTGGCAACAATACAAAACTTTGCTGATTCCCACGATGGTTTTTGCTTGGCGAGCGCTCAAGATGGAGTTGTACTAACTTGCTTGGAGAATATCGAGAGAATCGATCGAGAAAATGACGACTGGCAAGACCATGATAAGAAACCCGAAATAATTTTCATACTGGAGGGGTGCACCGGAATTTTGCACAACATTTCTCGACGACTGAGAGATCGCCAATGGTTTGCTAACAGTGATGAAACTTTACTCTATTTTGCAAAGGTTAAGGTAGCAAGTATCGCTGCCTCTGCTTTGCTGTGTCTGGCGTACCTTGTTAATGAAGAAACTAATCATTTAATCTCCGCCAACAAGAACTTGCTTCGCTTCATTATACGTATGTTAGACGAAGCTTGGCAATCAGAAGACCGCCGAAGCGACGGATTCTCTGTTAAGGAACTTGCAGAAGGACTGAGTCATTTAGCAATTAACGACGACAATAAAGAAATTCTTGGCAACGAAGATGCAATAAGTGTCTTAACGTTCACAATCATGACCTCAAGCGACGAAGAGGAACAGGAGAGCGCGGCAAGGGCTTTGTGGATGTTAGCTTTCAACGACTCCAACAAAGATATCATTCGACAGGGAGAAGAAACAATGGAGCAATTACGCACATTACACCACAGTCAAAACGCTGAAGTGCAAAAGGTAGCCGCTGGAGCATTGTGGGAGATTGAAGGGAAAACCGCAAGAGACAGAAGCGACAAGACCAAAGAGGGATCTGGAAACCACGTGATGATTAGCTACCAATGGGATGCTCAGGAGATCTTAGTCCAAGTGAAAAACCAACTTCAAGCCAATGGATACAGAGTATGGATGGATCTGGAGCAAATGGGTGGATCCACACTGGAGACAATGGCCAAAGCTGTCGAGCAGGCTGCTGTTGTACTGATCTGCGTGTCACAACGATACAAAGAGAGTCCCAACTGTCGATCAGAAGGCGAGTATGCCTACAAGTTAGAAAAAGACATCATTCCTTTGATGATGCAGAACAATTACAAGGCGGATGGCTGGCTGGGAATTCTGTTGGGAACAAAACTGTGGATCGATTTTCATAGTAAGGATGTTGTTAGTTCTGGTGTGTCAAAACTTGTCAGAGAATTAGCGGAAAGAGGAAAAGATGTTGATCATACAGATGGGTTCCCAGAGGTATTAATTCCAAAAACTGAGGCCAGCACTCTCACAAAACAACCATCTGGTCCAGATGTGGCCGGATGGACAAATGAGGACGTGAAAAAATGGCTCAGAGAAATTGGATGACACAAGTCCGCGACGAAGACATAGCAGAATTCACGGGGCAAACATTGATTGATCTTGAAGAGTTTCGAGGAGAATGCCCAGATTATTTTTACAAATGTCTTGAACACACGCTTCAGCTTAAAAACATGCTCCATGTAATCAAGTTCAGAAAGGAGTTAGACAAACTACTTGGAAATTAATTGCGATGGGTGAAATTTGTAATG